ACAGCACACGCTGCTGCGGAGCTGGAGCTGCGCTGCTGGCGTCAGGCCGACCTCAAACCCACGCGTGTCCCCCAGCACACAGCGGGATGCAGTGTCAGTGATGGGACAGACACCTGGCTCTGTTCAACACGCTTTTATCCAGTTAGGAAGTCTGCTGTGCCTGTGCTACTTAGCCCTTGTGTGAGCGTGCCAGTGGTGGCACAGATGGGGTATAGGTGACAGGAAAGCCAGTATGTCCCTGCTGGGTCAAAAGCACTGTCCGAGGGGGACTGGATTTTAACCTGCATGTGAGCAGGTTTCCTTGTCCATCCCTGGTGCTGGCTCCCAGGAGGAGGCACAGACCAGGCGCTGAGGCATTTTATTGTCAGCCAGAGAGGCTCAGCACACCCCGAGCTTGTGGTGTGAATGCAGTGGGGCCACGCCAGGCAGGAGGAAGGCTCCTGCCAGCACTGGGATGCACAGGCTGCCACAGGGCAGTGGGTTTGCCAGCCAGCCAGCCCCCCTGGCACATCACAAAGCCTCCCTTCCCACACTTGTAGGACACCTACAAGTAAGCAAAAATAACGGCGAGGACTGCCACAGCTCCGACCAGCTTGAAGACGAGGGGCACGGCAGGGGCTGATGCTTGCTCCTCCACGTGCCGTGTCTGCAGGGGCTTGATGATGCGCTGCTGCTGGGTGAGGATGGCCTCCCTGGCACCCGCCCACTTGCCCGGGCCCCGCAGGCGGTACTGGTACGGTGTGCAGGGCCCAAAGGCCACCTCCAGCGCCAGCTTGGGGTCGGTGAGGAAGAGGGTGAGCAGGTTGGGCTTGACCCCCACCTGGCAGGCGAGCTCGTCCATGTAGGGGATGTAATCCACCTGGATGGTGTGCCGCTGGCTCTTCACGTACCTGTGGGCGGGGAGGGCAGGGTGGTGCTGGGGGCAGAGCTGGCAGATGCCTCCTGCACCAGCAAGGTGGTATTGGATGGAACAACATCGGGAGGGGTTAGCTGGGGGGGGGGGAAGGTGGCCGGGACAACAGCCCAATGTGCTGGGATGCAGCCATGGGACAGGATAGGTGCCCGCAAGCAGCTGTGCCCAAACCAGCCCCCTCCCTGTTCCCGGGGAAGTCTTACTGCTTTGCCATCGCTTCTTTCTTCTGCTTGATGTCAGCCTCCATGTCGTGCCGTGGGGGCAGCTTGTTGAGCCCTAGGGAGGATGAGCCACAGTGTGGGGCTGCTGCACCCCGCTGGCATCAGGGCCCCTGTGGTGCTGCCCTTGCCTGGGTGCTGTGCCCCTGCCAGCACCACCGTGGTGGGCAGTCTGGCACCCAAGTCATGTCCAAGCTCCTTGGGATGGGAAGGAGAACCCCATGGGGCTTGGGGTACAGGTGCCCCCGTTCTGCTCAAGCAAAAGCCCGGCTCACCACGATGACTGCAAGGTGGCCATGCCATCACCCACGGCCAGGATGGCACAGCTGACTGCAGCCTCCCAGACATGGCTGGGCACCATTTCCCCCGGCTCCAGGAGTGCAAGCTCGGGCTGCAGCCACAGGGCAGGTTTGCCTCGCTTACCCTTGAAGACGCGGGTGGCCCAGCGACACTGGAGCTCAGAGATGGGCATGATGGCACCCAGAGGCTGGATGAGGCCGACGAAAGCCAGCGTTGGCTTCTCCAGGTCGGGAGGGAACATGAATTTGTAGAGAGGAATCTGGTTCTCCACCACCTTCCCACAGCCCTCGAGGAAGGGGAAGGAGAAGCTGTATCCCGTGGCAAAGACCACGGCATCGATGTCTTCCCTGGTACCATCCTCGAAGATGGCAGATGTCTCCGTGAACTCCTGGATGTTTGGCTTCACCAGCACCCTGCCTGAAATGATGCGGTTGGGCAGGTCGTCGTTGACGGTCGGGTGCTGGTCAAAGATCCTGGAAGGTACAAGGAACTATCAGGGTGCTGGGGTGGGGTGTCTCAGCTCCGTGTCCTGCTCCAGCCACTGCTCCCTGCTCTGGGGATGCTCATTCCCAGGGATGCTTATTGCCTGTGGGGCTGGTCCCCCAGGGATGCTCGGCAGTTGCTACTGCACTGGTGCCACCAAGGGTCCCTGGAAGGGGCAGTGGTGGCTCACTCAAGCATTTCCTGGGCACAACACAGCTATCAACCAGATTTCTAGGGATGGTGCCTTGGTTCCAGCCCGGGCACAGGGAGCATGGAAATGGCTGAGCAGGGCTGGACACGGAGGGAAGCAGAGGGTCCCTCCTGGGCAAAGGGGAGCACTTGCTGGTACCTGTGCTTTGGCTTCAGGCCGTAGTGCGAGTGGTCAAACCTGGCGTTCAGCTGCTTCTCCACAAAGTTGTTCACCGTGGTTTTCTCAGCAGCTTCTGCGGGAATGCCTTAATGCGTGTGGTGAAGATGATGTCAATGGGGTAGCCCTGATCTCCCACACGGTTGAAGATCCATGCACCCCGGCGGGTGCTGAGGAAGACCTGGTCAAGGAAGTAAGCATTGCCTTCTGAAGGCTGTGATGGTCCTGAGGGGGACACATCCTTGCCCCGGGATCACTCCTCTTCATGCTGCCCAAGTGCTGGGCAAAGTCCCAGAGGGCAGAGAGAGCTGGTGGCCGGCACCTGGCAGGGACAGGTAGGGAAGAGCCACAGGGCAGCACCACCTGGGGCTCAAAGATGGAAATGGGGGATTGAGTCTCAACTGCCACCACTGCCTGGTGGCTGGGGTTGGCAGGTGCCAGCAATGCCAAACACAGCAAGTGCTGGGACAGAGCAGCGGCTGTGCCAGTGCCTTGGTCCTGGTGTCCTTGTGGAGCCAGCAGTGTCCCATGGGGGGCTGCCCTGCCCACCGGGACCCTGCTCCCACTGCTCACCTGCTTGGCCGTGTGGCTGATCTCCACGGCCAGGTCCGACCCTGAATTCCCAATCCCAATGACAACGACCCTCTTGTCTGTGAAATCCCGAGCGTCCTTGTAATCTCGGCTGTGAAGGTAGCGGCCCTTGAACTTCTCGATTCCTGTGGGCAGGGAGGAGGGATGCTTGGCTTCCTGGCCCTGGGCTGGAGGGTGACCTCCCCAAACACTGAAGTGGGGATGCTCCCTGGCCCTGCCAGACCCCTCCCGGGGTGCATGGGA